GTGACCACCCCCTCTCATCGTGTGACCCCTCCCCAGTTATGTGACCCCCGTACCTCCCCGTCATGTGACCCCCGTACCTCCCCCTGTCATCGTGTGACCCCCTCCCCCAGTCATGTGACCCCCGTACCTCCCCCTGTCATCGTGTGACCCCCCCCTGCCATACTGAGATCGGGTTTACCCCAGGCGGGGGCAGATAGGCGATGGTACGGGGGTATCCGGAACCTGACATTCGATCTTCCGGGTGCAGTGAATGTTCGGTGATCTCAGCCGTGTTGTATGTACATTGTAGTGAGGAAGGCCGGTCATGTGACCCTCTCACCTCTGACCTGCGGGGGGCGCTGCACGGACACATGGAGGACGGAGCACGGGAAGGAAGCCGCCGGGGGGCGGGCAACGTGAACGTTCCCTCCTAATTCATAGACAATATTATAGTGATCACTGCTCAGGGGCCCCGGTGTGGCCCTTTCATGGAGGGGACCCCTACTGTGTACAGGCTCCGGCGCAGTAAGACCGACAACATCCCGGAGACTTCTATCCAGCAACAGAATTCCTGTGCGTGTGACCTCTGACCCTGGACAGTGTGACCTCTGACCCGTGTGTGACCTCTGACCCAGGAAGTGAACATAACGCATTGGCGGTATTTCGGGGCCACAAGACAAACATTGGGATGATTGCAGGAAGAGTCATTTCAGAGTTCTTTGTTCTGGAGCTCTCAGACTTTTCATCTTCAGGGGCCCCGAGCTAGGGGCCACAATGCTTTTGTTGGGGGTCCCCCTGGAGCCATTGCGCCCTGTACAGATCAGATTCTCCCCCAATACGATGAATCCCGTTCCTCGGTTACACGTCTTCCGGTGTATCTGGCGGCCGGAGACATTCACACTGCGAAGTGCCGGCTGTGACCGCTCAAGTTCTGCTTTCACTTGCCGCATGCTTGTTCCAGATGATGGGTGGTGGCCTGCGGTTGCTATGGGTTACTATTCTGAAGGGCGGTGGGGCAGGTGGTTGCTATGGGTTACTATTCTGAAGGGCGGTGGGGCAGGTGGTTGCTATGGGTTACTATTCTGAAGGGCGGTGGGGCAGGTGGTTGCTATGGGTTACTATTCTGAAGGGCGGTGGGGCAGGTGGTTGCTATGGGTTACTATTCTGAAGGGTTGTGGCCTGTGGTTGCTCTTCTGTGGGGCAGGTGGTTGCTATGGGTTACTATTCTGAAGGGTGTTGGACTGTATGGTTGCTATGGGTTACGGCCATGTATTGGGCGCACAGCAGCGGAGGTCACGTGTGGCTCGGTGTCCCGCCATTGGTCTAGACGTTGCTGGAACATTCGGTGGACGCGTTGCTGAGGTCGGAGCCCCTCCCCCTCTCCCAGCCGCGGCGGATGCGGGTCAGCTTGGCGCTCAGGCAGGGGAGGAGGAAGGTCAGGCGGGCGAGGAGGATGATGAAGGGCAGGACCAGGGTCAGGGTGAAGGTCGGCGGGAGGAAGAACTTGTAGCGCGTTGCGTCGAAGGCGCGTCTCCATCCGAAGGTGAGCGT